TATATTTGTATTTAAACACAAATTATATGTGTGTGTGTGTGTGTGTGTGTGTGTGTGTGCATTAATTATAATTTGATTATTGATTTATTAAGGCACCAACGATATATTTTGACTTTGAAGCAAGATTTTAAATTTGTTGTACCAAAACAAAAATAACATCTAAAATGATTTGCGCTTATTTTATTAAGATTAGTGTAGTAAATTAAAGCGGATTATATTTCACTTTGATACAACAAATTTAAAGTTTTAAATCTTGCTTAAAGCCAAAATATTGTTGGTGCAATCGGGTTTAAATAATATGCAGAGTTTATATTTTTATTTTCTGTATTGATTACAATCTATGGCTTTTCCTAAATGACATCGCAAAAAAAATGAATAATTTTGCAAGATTTTACAATCGCTACGTATGTATTTCTGTTAATAGTAAAAAAAATATTCAACTTTCAATTTTGATTTTAAATAGGCTTGAGAAAGGATTCATTGTCGACAATGATTTATTATTATAAATTGTAAAATTGTGAATATGATGTATCAATCGACAAGCTTATTAAATATATTGATAGAAGAAGGGATATTCTCACGAGAGCCGCAGATGTAAATCGGCAGTCAAAGGAATATATTACTCGCTGATATTTGTAATTATATCTCCGTTCGATATCTTGAATATAAATTAACTATTGTACGTGCGCAGGCAATACGGGCCTGTGGGGAGTTGCGCTGCGATACGATGAAGTCGCGGTGTTACAATGGTGAAAGGTGTCCACATGCGGTAATACGAAAATGAAATTCCGGCGTGTGGTTCTCTCTCTCTCAAAGTGGTTACCGCCGTTTGCAAGGCGATACCGCACTCACACACGCTCTGCGAATCGGTTAGGGCGTGTCGGGGGCGGCAGCGACCGATTTCCAAACACCGTTGCGGCCCTTTGAGCATTCCGATACACCATCGTGATTAAGAATCTCAGATCGTTGTCCCGTGGATAATAAAATTTCGCCGTTGCTCTTATTATCGTACCATTATTTTTTATTGATTATGCTTAGAAGACAATTATTATTATTTAAATATATAAACGGACAAACAACGCGCCAGAAGATCAAGCATCCATTTAGAGAAACAATTTAGAGAGTAAATTTCTCTCTCTCTTTC